GGTTAATTCCTGCTCTGTCCCACTGGCTCCTCACCTGCTGCCTGTAATCACTCAGCGATTCCATCATCATGGAAACAATACCTGCACTTAACGTTTGCTGTGCTGCTTGATCCCTTTTTTCCCCACTAATTTGAGTTCATAATAAATATATATATATATAGAAAAAGAAAAAAAGACCAGACACATCCACTGCAGCTGTGAGAACAGGCAAACAAAGCCAGCCTTCCTGGAGGAAAAACACATCTCTGTCTTTTATGCAATAAACCAGCAAACTGCTGCCGTATGCTAAAATCAATACCCAGAGAGACACGCTTATGTGGCAATTGCCAACATAAGTGCTTCGTTTTAATTAAAAAATAAAAAGATAAACACAAAAAAAACCACTCAGCCCAAGCCTTGCGTGATGAACGTCGTTAGAGAGCTACTATCAACACCAGTAGATGAAGCATCCTGAAGCTGGTGGGTTGGGGGGGTCTGGTGCCACCGTGACACCCATGGAGGGGTGCTGACAGTCTCAGCACCTCCCCGCACCCTGGTCTGGGGTGATGGAGAGCCAAGGGGTTAAAAAGGAGGACGGGACATTTGGGGTCCCTGCCTCGCGCAGCCCCCTGCTCTCTCCCACCACCATTTACTGGTCTGAGCTCAGGCTGTCCTTCCTAAAACGGGGGAAATCTGGACGTTAACCAAAACCAATCCCTCCAATCTGTTTCAGGGGCTTTTTCGGAGTAGCCTGGAACTAGAGAGACCTCACACAGCCCCTTCTCTTCTCCAGCACCTCAGATTCCCTTCTCAGTCCTTTTATCCCTTTTATTCAGGAACCATCTCTAGAGTCAGCAAGAAACCGCTCCAGCCTGAAATAGGGCTTCTGCTGCGGAGTGAAAACTGTCAAAATAATAGTTGTACCCTCAAAATGCCCTCGATGCTGCTGGCTGAGAGGACAGGAGCGCTCTTGGCCCACGGCATTGCATTTTGGAGGCCAGGGAACTCGGCAAGCGTCACGCCTGCAGCCCAGCCCTGCAGCATCGCACCTCGAAGCTGACAAGCACGTGCCTGCGCCGGATCCCAAGGGTCTGCCCACCCCACAGGGCCCTGGTAATCCAGCACAGGAGGAACTGGTGTTTGGGAAGATGACAAAATTGAGCTGAATCCCTTGTGACTATGAGCATCCGGGGTTTTCAGCTCAAGGCAGCCCGGAAGCCTATGCATTAGATGATAACAATTCACTTTGGAGATTAAGAAACTCGATTTTTCTTTGGAACTTCCCCCAGAGCAAAGTTTTGACTTGCCAATAGAAAAATCACCATAAAAACAAGCATGTACTCACCAACGAATGGGATCTAAGGAATTCTGCTCAAGAGGGTGCTGCCTGGGTCTGGGTTAGCAGTAGGGTCAGCACCGCACCTGCATCCGCGCTGGTCTTCGGGGCCAGTATCCCAACCCACAGCCAGACACCGAGCTTGTCTGCCAGAGCTCGTGGGGCTCTCACTGCATGCACCGGGCTCAGCTTGCAGGGCCGTGGATCTTCACAAGCTATTGTGAATCCAGGCCTTACTATTTTCCTTAAAAATACAAGAAAAAGGAGAAAAAAAAAAAAAAAACCAACCACGACAGTAAGTGTTACAGTAATTACAAGGAGGTTTTACCACATGTCTCAATTTGCATTAATTAAATCAACGAGGAAGCTTCAATTGAGTAAAGGAGGTTTTTTCTTAGCGGCAGCGAACGCGGCGGCAGGCTGGAGCTGGTAACTCCAGTTTGCTGCATGCATGTGCGCTGGGATGGGGAGGGATCTGCCGGCTGGAAGGGGCTTCCCAGGAGGGAGGGAGCCACAGGCAGGACGAGCTGGGGGTGGGGAGGATGAGAAGAAGACTCTCAGCTCTAAGATATTAAGAGCTCCAAGCCGGGTTTGTGCTGGTACTGTCGGATTTCAGCCCCGAGCCCGGAGAGTTGGAAAGCTTTGAAGTGGAAGCCGGTCGCAGAGCGGAGGTTGCTCTGCGGAGATAAGCCGTGGGTAAGAGGAATGCATCCATTCATACCCCAGCCATGCTGCAAGCACAGCTGTGAGGGGAATATAAATGGGCAGCTTTTTTATTTCTTTATTTTTACAGCCACCGCTTTGAATATTAAAGCAGATCAGCCACACTGAAACGCTCGGCTGGAAGCGAACCCTTCCCAACCCTCTGGAACAGGGCACAGCTGAGCAATTTGGTGCCCTGGGTGCCAACCCCCTCCAAGTCGGTGTTTCCTTCCTGTGTCCCTGAGAAGCAAAGTCCCTCCATGGATAAAACACGGGGAGCTTTACAGGAATAAACCCCAACTATTCCACATTTCCATAATTCCATTATTTCCACTGCACTGTAAGGACACAATGGCCGAGAGCTGGTACGGGCAGGCCGCTGTGGTGGTTTCACGGGCCAGCCTAACCCTTAGCTCCTGCTTTTTGCCAGAAAACCTTCCAGCGTGGCACAAGCATGCCTGGAGCAGCCTGGGCCACCTCGAAGACCGGAGGGCTCTCCCCTCTGATCACTGGCCCAGGATGATGCTCCGTCCCTGCGCACAGCTGGCCTGGGAAATGCTGGCCCAGCCCTTTTCTTCTCGACCTCTCAGGCCCAGCAAAGAAATCCGAGCAAGCTGGGATGCAGGGAACACTTTCCTTGTGTGCTACCCTAGGGATTTGTGCTGCATCTTTCATGCTGTCCCTAGCCCTGAGGCAGGAGCACGTAATGGGAATTGGGAGGAAAGTGCTGCTTGCGAGGGGAGCTTGATTGAAGAGATGGCTCCAGGCTGGATTTTAAAGCAGATGCAGCGAGGCAGGGAAGTAGGAACGTGTTGGGAGAGGGCTCCTGCACCACCAGATTGCACAGAGGAGTAGAGAGGAGCTGATGGAGGGGAGGAAAGAGGCTGTCTGCCCTGCCCGAGTGACCCTGGGGCTTTTCCAAACTCTCCCCTTTCTTCTGGCGGGGTTTTCCTCCAGAGACACAAAGACAATTGAGAATGTGGTCCCAGGCACACAGGCTGACTCCGGAGCGGGGAGCAAAGGGATGCAGGGCCAGGCAGAAGGACGACCTGCCCACCTTCCCCTCTCCTCCAGCCCTACGGGCACTGGGGATGGGAATAAGCAGTTTTCTGTGAACCAAAGGGTTAATGAATGTCAGAGCCACCCTCTGAGCACACTCGGTTTCTGCCACCCCCTTCCTGAAAGCCTTTACATAAGAGTCTTGCAGAATTTATAGCCTGCCTCAGCTGTGCCTGCTGGAGCCACGAACGGGCTGC